AGGTGACACTTTACCGCGCGCCCCGCAGTTACCATGGGTCGGAACCTCGTCCATGTTCGTTTAAGTGCAGTTGTCATGTCGCTGAACTACGGTTGCCATGTCGGACAACTACAGTTGCCATGTTTGCTCAACTGTAGTTGCCATCTCAGGTCAAAGTTCTAGATTGCCATTTTTTGGACAACTACAGCTGTTGCCATGTGTGGTCTGGTCTACTGCAGTTGTCATGATTTCAAAACTTTAGAAGTTGCCACCTACTAACACTAGGCAATTGCCATGTAGCGCTACAAAAAAAGGCATGGCAAAAAACATGTTCGGGTAAAAGAAAGAGTTGACATGTGCTCACAAGCACGCTAGGACAGTTGCCATTTAAAAAGAAAGAGTTGCCATCTGCTTACGTGCACGCTAGGGCAGTTTGCCATGTACCATGCAAAACATATGGCAACTGACATGTTCGGGTAAAAAAAAAGAGTTATCATCGGCTTGTAATCATACTAGGGCAGTTGCCATGTACACTGCAAAACGCATGGCAACTGGCAGCTTGGGTGTGGGAGAGGAGACGGGTGTGTGAGCGAGATGGAAAACGGCCACACACCAGCCCTTGTGCGTGACTGAAAAACTGATGTGTGGGCGAACTGCTAAACGCCCACACACCGACTCCTCCGTGTGGTAAAATGGATGTGTGGGCGACCTCTTTCACACACCACACACGCGAGTTGTCCTACGTGGCATACAAAATCAGCTAATTCGTGTCAAGATTCGTGTAGAAATTATTGAATGGTGATGGAGGTATGTGGACGAGTTGGCTAACACCCATCCATATGGACGTTAACATTTTCGAAAAGTAACTGCCGCGCGGCATATCCTGAGAAAAACGTGTGCCTAATGATTTCGTGAGTGGGCGAGCTCATGCGCTTCTATGATTATCTGGATATAAATACATTTGAACTACATGTATAAACAAATTGCCTCTCTATCACGATGACAATAGCTGTCTTGCCAAAAGAGCTCATCAGCTCTCGACAATCATAAGTTATGACGGCTTTCGATGCTCTGTATACGTTCAGACCGAGCACCGACCGAACAATCTTATATCTTGTGCTACCAAACATTAGTTTCTTTCATGCTACCATTTTTCAAAAAAATATATATCTTTAAAAAAATCAAAAACAATTGTGGGTGTTTAAAATATGTAGGAATTTCAAGTTAAATACGAAATACACATGAAGAAACAAAAAAGCAAATCTGAATGTGAACAGTGACATTATACCTTTTGTCGTTTAGTGATAGTGTCATGATGAATTTGTCTTTTTTTTTGTTTCTCAATTTGTATTTTAAAAAAAGAACTTTTTATAGATTGTAGACACATGTCTTGTGAACAGGCATAATTATTTTCAGAATTTTTTAAAACATGTAAATATGTTTCTTGAAAAATGGTAGCATCGGAGCACCTAATGTGTGATAGAATCTGATATTCTTGGCACCTTGAGATAGCTGTTTGTTTGAGTCGCAATGCAGAACCAGGTTTTTTTCCTAGCGTCCATCCAGAACCAGATAACCAGAAAGCGACGACTCCTTCGCACTGTTGCTTTGAATTAGGCCAACTTCACCGCGCGACCCTATTTTGTCCATCTTCGTTCGTTTGGCGTAAAAGGGATAAACGAGACGGCCCAGCGCACGGGCGCAAACGGACTTTTGTCTACTTTGTGCCCGCTTTCGACCCATCCCAGACCCAACTTTGCGCTGGTTTTTGCAGTGAAACGGACAGCACGCAGACGAGCGGGACGCGCGTGCTTGTCCTCCCCTGGCCCGCCTGTCGATGGG